TCAAGATATCCACGTGTGCCTTTTCAGCGAGCTTAACAACACGTTGCTGAAGACCTGCCGGCAGTACGAGCCTGGTGCCACTCAGAATGAGGCCACCATGTGTCACTGCAAGTTTTGACTCGACGTTCTTGTAGAGCTTGATTGCGGAAAAATTTCACAATGCATGTCTTTGTGAAACCTTAGCTTGAATGGATTGTCGCAGCTGGCAGTGCGTAGCTTTTTTGCTGGCTGATTCAATTACTTCTCGTGTCATCATTGCCTTTGATCCCGTGTCATCATTGCCTTTGGGACAGGAACAAAAGATACTCATCAGGAACTTTATCTTGTATCCATTTCCACTGAACTTCAGTGGATACCGTGATATGCAGTCGGATGGATTGTCTATGCCCTTCTGGTGATGTACCAAGAAGTTGTGAAGCTGAACGCTCAGACATATACGCACACTCCTTCCGGAGGTTCGAACAGAAAGGTTAGTCAAGAGGCTACGCAGAGGCTTGTGAGTGGTGTGGATATTGAAGTGAGTCCTGTAGATATACACGTTGAAGTGCTTTATTTCCCACACCCCGGCCAGGGTCCCTTTTCCGATCTGGGAGTAGTTGCGCTCCGGACAAATTAGACAACCGCTGGCGTAGGCGACCACCTGGAGTTCGGTTCCATTCGCTTGTGTTACGATGGCTTCCTGACCTTGTGAGCCAGCATCCCGGTCAGATGAGTTGTCTTCTTTCTGTCAAAGCATGCCAGAGTGTGACCACTAGTGAGAGCGCTTTTAAGCACGTTTAGAGCTGCTTGATATTCCGCAGTCCACTTCCAGTCAGCGTCTTCCTTTGTGAGATTACGCGTAGGGGCGGTCAGATCTGCCAGGTTGGGAATGAATCTTCCTGAGTAGGTGATCATGCCCAGCTAGGAGGCTTGCCACTTCTGTTGTACCGCTTGGTGAGGCAATGTCAAGGAACGCCTGGACTTTCGCTTGATCGGGTTTCACGCCTTTCGTTGAGATGTAGCCAAAGAATGTCAACTGGCGTTGGGGAAAGGAGCACTTTCTTGGGTTGAATGTGAGTTAGCATTCCATGAGGCGTTGCAGCACGCCTTCAGTGAGTCGTCGCTGATGTTGATGACTCCTGGAATCCCAGTGAGCACTTGTCCGATCGTGTTTTGGAACAGCTTAGCCTCAGCATAAATTCCAACGTTCAGCCGGTTGTATCATAGTCCGAAGTGTTACAAAAATTGTAATGTCTCTTAAGTCCTCGCGCAGCACTAGCCGGTGATATCCGTCGTTGAGGCCAAGCTTCAATGAAAAAAGTATCACCACTGAGGCTTGTGACGAGATAATTCAGCGTTGGTAAATCATGTCACTTTCTAGTGATGGCTTGGTTCGCCGGGCGCATGTCCACATACATTCGCACAGAGCCAAGCGCATGTGGCTTTGGTGCAACAACTATGGGACACACCCATCTGATGGGACCTGTTGCGTGCTCGATTACATCAAGCTCCTCCAGTCGACGTATCTCTTCTGTAACCAGATCATAAAAGTTGAATGGGATGGGCCGTAACTTTTGTGCCACCGGTGGAACTGCGTCATCAAGGTACAGCTTCACCTTCACTCTCTTGAGCTTTCTAGGTAATTTAAAATGTCTTGGGTGCATTTCCTGAATGTTTTGTGAGGGAGAGGCCTAGTGCACTATCAAGGCGAGACCCAGGGCTTCAGCTTACTTGAAGGAAACAGCGCCTCACTCGGTGTTTTTATCACCGTGACGGTGTCTTTATCATTGTGACGGTGTCTGGTAGCTTGCCATCTTTGGAACCAAATGAAGCAGAAAACTTGCCCATCAAGGGAAATTCTGTTTTAGACCCGCAAGCAAACAGCTTTGACACTAGATCGCTTAGGGTTGGTCTGGTTGCGATGTCGCTCTACGTGCTGTGACTCATGATGCTCACTGATGGTCCCATGTCTACGATGAAATCGGGTGGTTCTCATATCAACCCGTTCGCATTTCTACCCTCTCGTTTTTACCTTCTCATTTCAACCCAGCGCAAAACAACTTTCGCGTTTCTCCCTTTCTCATTTAAACCGTTCTCAAAACAAACTTTCGGGTTTGGACCCTTCTCAAAACGACTTTTCTCATTTTAACCTTTCTCATTTCAAATTTTCTCAAAACATACTTTCTGGTTTTGACCATTGTCAGAAAGACTTTTCTCATTTTAACCTCTCTCATTTGGAACCCAAATTAATCCAACATCATGATCTCGCAATCTTTCTGCGGTATATACGGCGAATTCGGGTAATTAATTGCCTTCGAGCCCTTGCCTGTGGCACCGGCGACCAAAAACGCGCCAGTGGTGCATCACGTGACCCTCTCCACCCGAATGCAAAGCACAATGAACTGGCGTTTTTATTTGACGTGGTCGCGAGTGAGCTCTGTTAACGTCTTCTTCGATCATTCTATGGTACCATGAGCACGCTGCATACGCCAACAACATAAATTACGACTCTTTGAGATGTGTGTAAACAGAAGCGGCTTCACAAAACGTTTCAAAATATTGGCATTACCGCAGTCCGTACAGCTGACAGAATATTAAAATATAAAATCAATGAAAGGGCAGATGTATAAATCAGTGTGGTGCTGCCCGCACGCGCGTCAAATTTCAATAAACTTTGTTTCGATTTTCGATTAACTGTTGCCACGGAGGCTTGCTAGCATCGCTTTCCATATTCTGTTTACTGTTAGTAGAGAGTTTTAGTAGATCGTTCCCATGACTCCGATAACGGTACCCGATACTCCGCCACCGCCTCCCTTGCGCATGCATAGTATCATTATCGGGGCTATCGGGGGTATCGGAACGGTCTACTGAAACTCTCTAGTACCTTTTTTGGAATCCTCAGTCTTCTCATTGCACCCACCCTCCTTGAAATTGTAATGCGTGTTCAAGTTTCAAACTGCATCACAATGCATACTTTTTTTTCAGCGGTGTAATAACTTGTTATTACAGAGTTGTAAAATAAAGTGATGTATTATGCAGCCCGTGTCTCAGAGCAAACATACCTTGCTCAGGCTGGATAAATTCTTTCAAAAATGTTGACTTCCTTTGAAACATAAATTATCTTTCTCTTCGTTGTTTTTGCTATCTTGTTTTAGAGCACAAAAGGGTGCCTGTCTCGATGGCTTCGTTTGCCACTCGAACCCGCTATTTGCCGCCTCGGCGAGCATTGTTTCGTTTGGTTCCCTATCCCGATTCGGATGTGCCGATACCGGATACAGTCTGGCAGACAAGCTGCCCGACCTCTTCGAGCTCGGGAAAACTTCTGCTGGTAAATTGCCGGTACACGTCTGAGAAGCGCAACCCAAAAAGCTTGCACCCGCCAGCCTTTGACCACGCGAACGCCCTTGCCGAAGACATGGGAAAACTTCTTTTCAGGGAAAATGAACACCCGAATTGGCCATTACAAGCAATAACACACGACAAGCACAATGATCCGTCCGCTCCACACGACAACATCTTAACGACATACAGCGACAGAAGAGAAATGAAGTACCGAATCTGCGCTTGCACTTTTGAAACCACGTCACCATGTGACCACGTAGCTGCGTCAGCAGACTCTGCGTGGCACGCAGGCATAAGGAAAATTGTTTCATGTGCTATGCAAGAGATGGTGCCGCTTCGCTTCATCTTCAACCTTCATCCTCAACCGTTTTTTCCTTCTTTCTATAACTCACTATGGTGTTCAAATGACAACGGGTTCAAATGAGAAAGGGTCGAAACGCGAAAGGTTAAAACGCGAAGGGCGTTTTGCGAATGGGTTCAGACGAGAAGGGTTCAAACGAGAATGGGTTCAAATGAGACGGGTATAAATAAGAAAGGGTCGAAACGCGAAAGGTTAAAACGAGAAGGGCGTTTTGCGAATGGGTTCAAACGAGACGGGTTCAAATAAGAATGGGTTGTTTCGAGATACACCCATGAAATCTACATAAGAGACATTGATGGTCAACGTTACTTTCGGAGCTTTTGAGCTGTCGCGTTGGACTGCGAAAACTTAGTCGTCCGACTTTGACTCTGAACTGCGCATGGTTAGCCAGTGGGCCATGTCGTGTTCACGTTGTTGGTCTTTTTCTCTACATGCGTCGGCAAAAAGTCCTCACTTTCTGTAAGCTTTGCACGTTTTGTGTATTGCTGGAGAGGAGAACTTTCTTTATAAGGCCACACTCCGCCCTAGTTAAAATCTTTCTTTTTGAATGAAATGGATGGTTTCGATTTTGAATTGTGGTTGCCCTACCGAAAAATCAAGTATAACCTTTTGCTAACTGGATTATGAAACTGAAAATCTGACTAAGTTTTGTCCTAGACACCTGAAATTCAGTTTGCAAACAATTGTCTACGAACCAGATTCTGTTCAGTCTCAACGGAATTCAGTTTATCGTTGAGTATCAGCGAAATTTTGTTGAGTTTTGATAAAACAGTTGCAGCGCTAGCCACTCCAGCGGCGACTGAAGTCACGGCAAATACCTTTGGTCGGGATGCTATATTCGTTCAATTACAGAGCGCTTTCCGCCGTTCCGCAATTGCAATCGCGCTCGTACGTCAAAAAAAAAAAAAAAAGATACAGAAAGATTCAATAGAGCTGAACAATCACGTGGTTTTGTTATGACTAGGTGCATTTTATGCTTCGTTTCACCTTACAAAGCACCACAGCGAACTCTACAAGCCATCCCAACCAAACTAGCGCTGTGAGAGTATCACGTGCCCACGCGCCTTGCGCGTTGTTGCAAATGCCCCTTCGGAAAGTCACGTGAAGGTCACATGGCGCTTGATCGGGTCCGCTGGCTAATAGCATCCGGTGTGTGAAATCGGAATGTAAAATGGATTACAGTTTCTGACAGACGTGATCGTAAGTCGCCAGTGTTTCCATTGTCGGGTCACAATCACTTTTTTTTTCTAATTTGAAGATGCCTAGCGTGGCCATCGTCAGGTATCATTTATGAAACGTACATGTTTTGCTGTTGCAGATATGCAAAGGAAAGGAGGTGACGTATTCCGAGATGCTGAGAATGGTGCAGTGCTACGCGGCTGGTTTTCAAAGCCACGGCATAAATCCTGGCGACAAGGTGCTCGTGCACGTGGACGATTCTGTGGAAAACTTGGTTGCCATGTATGGAATTGTGTGTGCTGGAGGGGTCGTAATTCCATCTGAGCCGGGATCGGAACAAGGTGTGTAAGATCAACCCATTTTTGTTACACCCAGAACGGGAAAAGATGACAGTCTCTATTAAGGAAGTGTGGGTTCAATCGTGGCCTTACCAAAAGAAGGTGGTGTTGATATTGTATATCACTCCAAGCACAGATCAAGAACAGAATTTTTAGGTTAAAGAACACATATTTTTGGAAAGTGGACCTGTGAAGGTTAAAAAAAAACAAAAAAACATTGGGTAAACACAGCGCCGCAAGTTCGTCAAACCTTAAAGTTAACGTTTTTTCCCCATAAGATGTGGATAACGTTCTCAATCTTATAACTTGCAGGTGACATAACAGCTACTTTTTCAGTGTGCAGACAAGGCTACAGGCTTAGTTTTATTATTTGATTCTACCGGAAAAGCTATTTACAAGCCAGGAACTCCGCGCGAGTTATTTTAAGTGTATAGTGGGTTCATAATGTGATGATGTATACTCTAATTCCATGGCTCGTCCCTGCGCCTCTCCTCAAATAGTAGAACCAAGTAGGTTGCAATAACTCACTCATTTTTTAAGTCACTTTATTATCACAACACACACCGTAAAAACACTGTGACACTGAAAACACAGGTGGCACGCTCCAAGAAGAATGCCCCAATCCATTGCAAAAAAGTAAGACCAAAAAAAAAAAAGCCGCCAGGCTCGTTAGCAGTGAATGGAAAATGACCGAACGCTAAGAAAATCTAAACCTCGTTGAACTGCTGTAGCAGCACACTCCCCGTCTGATATCACCGGATACCACCTAACAACTGCACATCAAAGAAAATATCGGAACTTTTAAAACGCTCACAACTTTGCAATAAATTTTAACTTGGAATGAGAAGGACAGTCTCAGTGACTGGCCCTAGGTATTTACAGCGAAGCTGTATATAACTCTTAGGTGGGATTTTTTCGTGTCCATCGACAGAAAACCCACGCTCGCGCCTTTTCACCCGTTCGCGCACGCCTTATCATTGATCATGCGGTTTGGATACTTGTTCCAATAAGAAAACCACAGAACAAGTGTCGAAACTACGTGATAGACTGCGAACCATCCTGATGCCGGGACACAATCAGGTCGCCCGATCGGCTCTCGTTTCCCCACCTGCCTATCTTACACCCGGGTTTCACCCTGGTGTTCGGTGAAGTAAAATAAAATCCGCTCATCGTTATTTACCCTGCGAACTTAAGATGAAACGCCCGAAAACTGATCACTTAACCTGCCGACCGGGTGGATTCAGCCATGCATGATTTGGCTTTTGTCGCGGACCGTCTTTATATTCGGCGATAACTCAAAAATAGCCTGTCAAGCGGGGAGTGACGGCAAAAACTGAACCACTGCTGAAACCTCGATAATGGTTAAGCTTTCTTCTCATAGATTGCGTGGCTGGCCTTTTGCACATTTTTTTTATATCGTCCACCTCTGTACATGTGTGCCCCGCTTGTTTTGCGGGGAAACTTTGACATTTCAATGAACTCTTGCAGGTGAAGTGCTGAGGAAAATAGACGATGGAAATGCTAGTCACGTGCTCACCACACCAGGAGAAGCCTACCTGTTTAAGAGTCTAACTGAGGGCACGCAAATCCAAGTAAGTACTATGTTATAAACTAGGAAGTGCTACACGTAAAACAACATAGTCATTGTGTCTTTAGATGTGTGATGTTTTCATTCCCGCTGTCGTACGACAAAAGTCATCGGGATCGTTACCTTTATTGAACTGCGTAAATGACCTCTCGTGAGACATGTAAGCTTGCGGTGCGGTCTGGCAAGTTACGAAAAAAATGTGCGAGAAAGAAATAAAAACTAGGTACAGAACGTACGGCCTCTTTAGTGAAAAACAGATTTTATTCAGTTTAAACTGAAACTAACAGCATGGAAGTATCATGCTTCTTGTAATCTCAAGCACCATCATCCATGTTATGTTTAGGAAGTTTTCATCAATTTTAATTCCTTCTCTTTACCATGGCGTTTATCATATCGCTATCCATCATGTTCCATAGATGAGGTTTAGTGTTTTTGCTTTAAACCGAAAAAAAGCCGAAAACCGTTTCCCGGTAAAATTTTCGACTATTCGGATTTATCCGAAAAACACCGATTTTCAAACAAACGATAGAACAAAAAAAATTATTCCCAAACGTTTTGTCGCCAGCTGTCGGAAGGAGAGGGCTACAGGGTCTTAAAATCTGGGTAGACTAACAAAAGGGGAGCTTAGTTTGTTCAGATCCGTTCAGGACACCAGCTCACTATACCAGGGTAACTGCAGTTGTATGGAGGACGGAAAAGCGTTTCCTGTGATTTCAGATAAAGCTTCAGATGACTGACAACCATGATTTTAAGACACAATATGGCTAAGTGTCGTTACTCTGAAGCATAGCTAACTTAGTGGCACCAGCGGGAACAATGAGGAAGAGGCAGGCGTCAAAAGGTGGTGGCTTGTGGAACCCACGGGACTTACGTCATGGCCCCTCCAAGTAATACAAGCTCCTTGAACAAGGGCATGAATAGTGTCATTACATAAGCTATGAGCTCCCTGCGCATAGCTGCGCTCCCTGTGCGCTCCCTGCGCGTGTGCGCTACCCGCGGCGATGACTGATTTTTTTTTTTCGGTTTCCTTCCCTTCTGAAATTTCTCAGCATTCCTTCTCAGATAGTCAACAGCTCACACACAACGTAAATTTACCAGAATCGGAGCTTGTATGAAGGAAGATGTCGCATCGGAGCCGGTTCATTCGAAAAGTGTGGGGAGCTGCGGGACTGCACGTAGTCCCGCGGTTACAGAATCATAAATATAAACTTGGTACTTTTACCTTGGTAACTCGTTGTATATTACGTTTATATCATATATATAATAAATTATACAAGACCGCTCTTTTAAAACGTATATTAATGTCGGATAAACGCGCACGAACACCATCGCGCCGCTCGACAAGAAAGATTTTTTTCACGCCGATACCATATATTTTCTCACGTAGTTGCGCCATGGCCTTCCTTCCTCCGACATTGTGGCATAACCACTCAGAGCGCAGCGGCCTTCTCTTCTAGGAGGTGTTGCCTACATGCTCTCTTTTGTCTCACTAGCCCTCGCACTCCACACCTCGAAAACTAAGAAACAAACAAAACAATTCTTCCAGTTGTTGACGTTCCGTGTAGTGTTGGCTGTGTCCACACTGCGGCGTTGACAGCGCCCTTTGATTGCGCTGCGCCACGCGTCGCCCGCTCGATTGGGCGGAATTTGGTGACCCTGGAGACGCTCCAACTGCGTTGGTTAGTTTAATAAATACTTAGACGGAATGTAATCGTAATATTTTACACGTAGGCTTTTTAGATGAAACTAAGTAGGACTGCGTTATTTTTTCAACATCGAAGATTGACCGGAGTTGTCCTTTAAGCTACCCATCCCGACTCCTCCCTCAACAGCCTTTGAGCCATTGTTCGGTGAAATGCTTACTTGGACGTTTATACGACCAACATCTCAAGTTAAATTTACAGCGTTTTCAACGCCCAAATAGCGGTAAAAACGTTATATAAATTGTGTGGCACATTTTGTGTCCCAAATGAAAAAAAGACTGAATTTGTCGAAGGAGCGAGACATTTCTGAATCCACCAAACGCACTCAAAGTTCAAACTAATTGAGAGAATGTCCGTCGCTCGCAAGGACACTAATACGTATATACAATTGCGCATATTACATCATTCAAGTACTAATGTGAAGCTGGAAGGGGCTTCAGAGGTATTACCGATCGCATTCTACTCGGTTCGACGAAAGCAAATGAATGCAGCTCCGGTCAGACTAACCGACAAGTATGTTTTCTTGTCGTTATTTTTTTGTCGCAGAAAACGTCTTTGTTTTTAATGCCGCTTATAGGCATTAACGTGTGCAGAATATTACAACATGTAAAATAGAGCAAGAGGAGCACACAGCCAAGCTGTGTAAACGTTAAACAAAAACCACGGAAACGAAAGCAGCACCTGCCCGTATTGAGAGAATACCGATGACTTTTGCATGACGTGATGATGTACTACTGGGGCATGGGGGTATGTGAAACATAAGCAATCGAGAAAAAAAATTTAAATAATTTTGGTATTTTTATTAAGATAGGTACGAGAAAATGATTATACGGCAATTAAATGCAAAGGTGCAAGCGAGCTAGACAAGAGTGAAAAGACGGTGAGAGTGCAGGCGAGCTGGTGGTAGCTAATCATGTCGTATTACACCTGAGACTGCGGTGCAGTCTCAGGTGTAATACGACATGATTAGACAAAAGTGACGAAAATAATCCCTGGAGAACGGCAACAAAGGGGACAAACGACAACCATAAATCTCCAAAAAGAGCTAAGTGACTGGTGCGCGACCGAAAACATTTGCCTGGTCCTTGCATCAAACCAGGGACCTCTCCATCTCCAGTGCAGCGCTCTACTAACTGAACTAACCAGGAGTTATGCAAAAATAGTCCAGAAGCCGGGAGATGTCATGATTAAAATAAGAACACCACATAACAAGAAAACAGCTTCATTAAACGTTTCGCCTCCCATGCGGGAGGCATCATCAGTGCATTCACAGGAATGAGAGAGCTTCGGTCAACGCAGTCCTATTTATCGGGAAGGTCCATATAAGCTTCCGGGAGGGGGCCACGGTTCTTGTTGCACGCCGTCTTATATCCGCGAATGAACCATGACTCAAGTAGTTTGCGTGGGCCTCACCTATCCTCCTTCACCAAGGTCGTCGCGGCTGTGAAGTCAAAGGTGTTTCCTGTGGTCCACGCGTGGTCGACCAGCTCCGTCTTGAGACGTGTGGCGTTCGTGGAATACTTGACGTCACGTTGGTGTTCTTTCATCCTGGTTATCTTCTTGCGTCCGGTCTCCCCAATGTACGAAGAGCCGCAGTCCTGGCAGGGGATCTTGTACACAATGCCTTTTTTTGTGTACAAGATCCCCTGCCAGGACTGCGGCTCTTCGTACATTGGGGAGACCGGACGCAAGAAGATAACCAGGATGAAAGAACACCAACGTGACGTCAAGTATTCCACGAACGCCACCCGTCTCAAGACGGAGCTGGTCGACCACGCGTGGACCACAGGACACACCTTTGACTTCACAGCCGCGACGACCTTGGCGAAGGAGGATAGGTGGGGCCCACGCAAACTACTTGAGTCATGGTTCATTCGCGGAGATAAGACGGTGTGCAACAAGAACCGTGGCCCCCTCCCGGAAGCTTATATGGACCTTCCCGATAAATAGGACTGCGTTGACCGTAGCTCTCTCATTCCTGTGTATGTACTGATGATGCCTCCCGCATGGCAGGCGAAACGTTTAATAAAGCTGTTTTTCTTGTTATGTGAAGTCGGTGTTCTTATTTTAATCATAACCAGGAGTTAGACGTCAGTAGTGCAAACGGGTTTTATCAGCAGCCACCAGCCTAACACCAACGAGCGTGAACGGCTTGCATTTTAAGGTTATGATTATAAGGCAATTAAATGCAAAGGTGCAAGCGAGCTGAACAAGAATGCCGAAAATAATCCCTGGAGAAGGGGAACAAGGGAGACGAAAGACAAACACAAATCTCCAAACACAGCTAGGTGATATGTGCGCAACCGAAAATATCTGCCTGGTCCTGGTATCAAACCAGGGACCTCTACATTTCCACTACAGCGTGTTATGACGCGTCTCCATCTCCCTGTGCTTGTGAGGATCGACCTTGCATTCCGGTGCGGACGACGACCAAGTGAACGTCGAGACGGTTGGAGTGCGATCCGAACCCTTTTTGCACGTTCGACCGAAACCGGAGAAGCGTTTCTCTCGGGCCTCGGCTCAAGGGCAACAGAACCGACGTTGCCGTCGGTGTCTTCATTCTACGGCGTCTGCATTCCACGGAGGTGTCTGCATTCCACGGAGGTGTCTGCATTCCGCGGGAACGCCAGACAGAATCCCACCATGAACAGATGGGCAGTCTGTTCTGTCTGCGTCTATTGCATGCAAGACAATCGCCTACTAGTCGCCCTCCATTCGGAGAAGAACAACGATCGAACATCGGCGCCGAGAGGAGGAGGCTGACGTCGAGGCCAACTTTGGAATGCGGCGTTAACCAACCAATGGCACGGCAGCTCCAGAACCCCGATTTTTGTTATATAAGGACCTGTTCGGCTGCCCATTCGGCGCGCTCCTTTTGCCAACATGCTGCACGATATACCCATGTAAATCAATTAGTTTTCAGTCCTGTTAAGTTTTCCCGATCTGTTTCCCCCACTGTCTGGCTGGGACGTTGTTCGCGAGAAAGGTTGGACGCCAGCGAGATGGCCATGCTACCCGAGAGACCAGGCTTGGCGTCGACTCATAACAGCTGGATGGCAGCGGTGGGATGCTGAACAACGAGGATCAAGACCTCCCACAGACTCCACGAACCGATGACCACAGATGTGGGTGAGTGTTCGGCTTTTGTCCCTAGAGACACACCAGGCTTTCGCTACATTTAATTGTTTTGTTAGACGAAGCGGGTGGTTTTGATTATTCTGAGGCGTGGGTTTAACGAAGCCGTCAGGATATGAACAGAGCCAACATTCAGAGCAATCATGAACCTCAGTTCGTTAGGGCA